TAAAATTATAATTGTTCTATGCTAGGGTTATACTTTTTCTTTCTTAACCAACTACTTCATAAAAATTCTGTAATTTGTTTTATAATTTCAAATCAGCAAGCAAATTTAAAACACTAAAATGCTGTGGAAACATTTTGGTGCATAACTGTACACCATTTTACAAGGTTAAATTTAATACCAAGAACTGCCTATTTAATACAAATAGTAAAAAGTATTCGGAGGTTAATTTGTGTAATTAAATATAAAACATGTTTCTCTTTTGAATTCTTTACAGATGGAAGAAGTCCAATCCTATTAGTGTTAGAAACTTCCTCCTTAAAATGGCAAAAATAAAAGCAAATTATTAAAATAATCATTCGACCTGCCGGATGCCAACAATACCAACACAGCCAGCCTTCCTTTTGGCAAATATGGCCATCCATGCCATGTTACTCCCTTACTTCTTTAAAAGTATATCAAGGTCTAAAAGAGTTTAACTTACTCAGGTGCTAGACCCGTGAAGTGATCAGCCCTTACCACTATGCAATATATTCACGCAAAAAAATTGCACTTGTATGCCTTAAATGTATACAAATAAAAACCAAATAGTGTAACTCTCAACTAAACTCTAACATATTTTAACACAAAAATTAAATGGAGAAAAATGTGGTTTGGATGCCCTGGTAAATTCATTATAACTTCAGTGCTGTCCATCCATAGATAAAAGAGAAAAGTTCACCAGAAATAGGACCACCTTCTACTTATCCAATTCTTAAATGTAATTTAGTGCCCAAAGTAAACATATGAAAGCAAAGAGCAAACATTACTAATGCAATATTTTTTTCTTATTTTTCCAAGACCTTTTCTCTATTGACATGTAATTCATGTCTACCATCCTAAAGAGTTATATTTAATTTAATATTCAGCACTACTAGCCATAATTTTGCAAAATTATAATCAATATGAAGCTAATTTAGGAATAGCAATGAGAATTCTACCAATCAGATTTCTGACAGAAAATAGCTGGCACGATCCAATTAAGATATTTCTGTGAAAGTTCCTTACAAAGATATAACCAGGGTTTAGGGAGCCATAAATGAGAATGCAGGACCTGGGGCTAGGAGGAGAAAAAGTGTTGTTACCACTTCTAGTACAGAAGGTGGTAAAGGAGGAAGCTGTTAGGGTGGGCAGTGTCTGCATGTTTCATGGCTAGAAGGTAGCCAAGAAATATTCCAAGCCTTTAGCTGAGGAATCCAGCCAGTCTGAGATGAACACACCAATAAACGTGGGGAGTAGACACCCTAATTTCACTTTTTCTTTCTTATTAACTGCTGCTGCAGCTTCCCAATGGCCAAAGAAGGGACTGGAGTCTATTGTTCTAGTTTTTACAGGTCAACTTCCAGGAAAGAGAACAGCATAAAAAAAAGGAAACACATAGATGGATCTGGAAACCATCATTCTCAGCAAACTGTCACAAGAACAGAAAACCAAACACCACATGTTCTCACTCATAGGTGTATGTCGAACAATGAGAACACATGGACACAGGGAGGGGAACATCACACACTGGGGTGTGTTGGGGAGCATGGGGCTACGGGAGGGACAGCAGGGGGTGGGGAAGGGTAACATTGGGAGAAATGCCTGATGTAGGTGACAGGGGGGATGGAGGCAGCAAACCATGATGGCATGTAACAGTCCTGCAACTTCTGCACATGTACCCCAGAACTTAAAGTATTAAAAAAAATCTCCAAAGGAAGGATCAGTACAGCTAATTCTTATGTGTAAACTGGAAACAGTAATACCTACCTGAGGGATTGTTGTGACGATAAAATGAGGTAATGCTTGTACATAGTAAGAGCTTAATAAAGCTTTAGTTTCATGGTTTTAAAATGAAAAAAAAAAAGAGGCAAAAGAGAGCTAGCTGAACAACTACATATAATGAATATAATAGAATTTGGGGTCCTTCTGAATTAGTGTCTCTGATATATCACATGCAGACATGGTTTCAAGGCTTAACCCAATGTATATGCCAAATATTTACAGAGAAAGCAAAGATCATAAATCACAGAATCATTCAACTTACCAAATTAGAGACTGAGAGACCTCCCATGTTAAAGTGATTCTCTATAAGCCTTGATGGCTCATCCTGAATTGTTACTGTGTCTAACTTTTTAAAATATTACTACTTTGTTAATTATTTTGATTTTACAAATGCCCCTATGATATAGAGTGATCCATATGAGTGAAAATCATCCAAGCAGTAGAAGTTATATTTTAAGTCTGAAAATGAGTTATATTCAAAACTTTTTACTGGGAGACAAAATAAATAAAATCTCCCCAAAATTTCTTAAATTATTTATGTTTATATGGAGTCATGACTAATAGAAAAACAGAAAACTTAATGAAACAATAAATTATTTGGCCCTCAAGCCACCAATCAGTTTGGAGTTTCCTGATTTCTTGCCACAGACCCTAAGATCTCCCAAAGCCCTGAGAAAGGTGCATGGTATGAAAACTTTAATCCATGGGTTTTAGTAAATGCAGCTATAGGTAATTACAAGAAACTGTGTCTCAAAGAAGTTTTAGAATATCAGACTTGGAGAAAATACACTCAACTCAATCTGCTGATCCATATGAATTAGTGGAAGAAAAGAATCAAACAGCAAATAAATGAGAACCTATTTGGGGTCTGCAGAAAATGAAGACAGAGGGAAGGAAAATGTGGAACAATTATTAAATCTCTGGTCAAACTCCTAAAACAGTTGCTTAGGGTTTTCTACCTTCTATTGTGTGCATTTATTAGGAATTCAAAGACAGTAGAAAAGGATTTTATTTTCTTAGAAATAATTTAATCAATAACTATACATCGATCGAGTAGTTACAACCAATTTTTTAGATGTGTGCATACATGCATTCTTATTGCTTTTGAATGTATAATGTGCAGAGTCTTACAATTTAACTCAGATTTTGTGTTGTCCCTTTTGTGAGAATGTTAGCTTATATGGGGTTATATTTTACTTGGCTTATTTGTGTGGTATATGTCTAAGGTCGCATGCATAAATACATTTATCATACAGCCCCAATTGATATACTGCAGGGACATAATACACTAAAGTAGCCAAGGGTAAAGGGGTGTGTGTGTGTGTGTGTGTGTGTGTGTGTGTGTGTTGTAGCATACATATGTATAAATACTTCTAATTATTTTTTTTAAAAAACTGATTATATGTAATTATGAAGCCTATATATAAATGTCATGATTCATTTGGTATAAAGTTTTTGATTTCTTCCTCCAATGATTTTGAAATGGTTTATAACAGGCTATTCTATTCCATTTTTTATATTTTTATTTCAGGAATAAAATATTTTAACAAAGGTAGTACTAAAGTTGGCCCAGTAACATCAGAGTACTCAAATCTATTAATTAACTCTATTAATGCTCAGTACTTAAGTCTATTAATTAAAGTCATTAGTAAAAAATTGAATAATAAGTTATTAGTGAAGAGGTAGGGAAGCAAAAGAAGTAACCAGGTTAATTGTCCTGACCTCAAGGGGTTGTGACTCTGAAGAAGTGATGAGACATATACATGGTTAGAATAATTAGGATAGATTATGATATGGGATATAAAAAAGAATTTGAAGCATTGCTATAAATTGAATAAGAGAAGAGGGAGTTATGGTTGGTTATCTTTGTGACAGTAATTTAAGCAGTGGTAGAGCAAAATTTTAACACTCAGGTAGAGTGAGTGTTAAACACTCAGGAAGTGAGATAAGTGAGATGGGAGCTGAAATGTATTTGTTTAGTTATTGGGTTCCTACAATTTTAGATACTATGTTAGGTACTGGAAATACACTGCACAATGAAACAAAAATAGTCCCTTCTCCTATATTTGCCATGTATTGGCAAAGAATATTGATAGCTGTTTCAAGAAGTTTGAATGGGTAAAGAGAGGCTAATTTGGGGAAAAACTCAGGAAAAGAGTAAAATGAGGGGGAGTAGTTTTGTTTGGATTTTAGTTGTTTAGATGTCTCCAGGGTTAGAGAAACATGCTTGGCTTTAGTCTGTGTGGAAGGAACCAGGGAAATGGAGAAATGCAAATTTTGATATGAATAACTGATTCAGTAAAATTGGTGAAGTAATGAAAGTCTTATAATTAAAATTTAATATGAGGGATTATTTTGGAAAACAAATGGAATATAGGTAAAGATAAAGAGGTATTTTAAGGTCTAAAGGAGAAACATTCAGTGATGCGCACATCAAATGGCCTCATCATTTTGTAAATCGGAAGGCTAATTCATTTGAAACTAAGGAAGTCAGGGCAAGGTTTGAGCCCAAGAAGAATAGAGATTTTGAAAAATGTGCAAAGAGCTGGAACATTTTAAGTGGTCACATCCTACTCACGACTAGATGGGGTCAGACAGCATAGTCCTGTTGAATATCTAAGAGGTATGACTAAACGGACATGGTTCTTACCTGCATGGAACATTTGATCTAGTGAAAGGTACATCCAATAATCAATTATACAAATAAATATTAACTTTTCAACTGACAAGAAAAATATGTCAGGGGATAGATTTCATAGAGAACTAGAGGGTTGACGAGAACCCAGTGAATGACTTTGGATTCTGAGCGGCAAAATAAAGCTAAGTGCAGTGTCTGATGGACCAGGGCGATGGAGAAAGATAAAGGGTAAATTATGAGTTCAGTAGGAGTCAGAAAGTGGAGTAAGTGAAAACACAGGCAACTGCACTTGGAAAGCAGGTTTTCAGTGTTTTACTAGAAGCAGAGCAGCTGCAAAAGACAAACTGACTTCAGGCAAAACTGTAATTTAGAGGAGAAATGGAGCCCTGAAGCGTGTGTGTGCAGCGACCCCATGCTCACCAGGGAGAGCTTAGCTTATGCCACGTATACAGCAACTGAGCATATTAATTCACAAACATGGACTACTCCAAGGCAGCATAAGTCATACAGGAAACATTTCTTTCTACTTTTGTTTAAAGCTATTAATGTTGTACTCACGTACATTCAGTGTATTAGATGATGTTCCAGCTTATTTGGCCCCTCTCTCATTGGGTGACCTTGCAGCCTCGCAATAAAGAGAACCATTTCTAGAAAAGAAATAAAATTAAAACATGGCATTACATTTAAGGAAGTTAGAAAATAGCCCAGGCAAAGTTATTTGAAATTAAAACTGAACTAATGGAATAACCTACAGGGAATAATTTATATTTCTCTACACTATGTTTATCCAAGTGTATATTCGTTTTATATTATGTCATGCTTGAGGCTTTTCCCAGAATATAAAAGGCTTTTTGCAAAATGATGGTAATCACAATATTTGGTTCTGAGAAAAATCTCACTTTATCAAATTTGTCTTTCTACTGGATTGTTGAGCAAGATTTTTAGCAAAAGAAAAAAGGTATATCTGGTGCTATTTATCCCTGCTTCCTTTGCCTGGTCTATTTTTGTGAAGTTAGTGTATTCCCCATTTAAATATACTGTGACTTTTCATGCCTGCATATCATTTTCCATTCTATCTCATCCACTTTAAATGTCATTATTCTTTTGTCTATTCATATTTCTCATCTACAAACTCACAGTCTTCTTTAATACCCAGCTCAAATATGACCTTTTCCCCCTGAAGCTGCCAATCAAAATTAATCTCTACCTCATCTGTAATCCCACAAACCTTTGTTTGTCATATATTATGAGATTTATATCCAGTGTTCCTAATTCTATCTCCCCACCTTTACTCTCTAAGGCAGGGGAAAGGTTTTATCAGCATGTGCATGTGTGTGCACTCATGTTTACTTTCTTTAATACCACCTGCCTTACTCAAATAACAGACATTCAGACATTACTTTCAATTGCTCCTTACTCTATTCTGGAGTAAATTAGATTTAGTTAGCACTGCTATAGTTTATGCTATAATAATTTAATATTTATTTCCAACTAAGACACTTATGTTTTCACTTGGCTTCCAAAGCACCATTCTCTCTAGTCTTCCTCCCACGATAGGTCATATGATGTTCTTAAGAGAATGAAATTAACTAATGACACATATTTTTAGAATCTATTCCCAAGAGAAGTCATTCTATTAGAGCAGAAAAGTATATTGGGTGGTTTACTATTTCAGATAACTTAGAAAGTCACAACATAAATGAGTTTATTCTTTTGATTTAAGAAAATCTAGGTTCTAATCCTGTTTCACTGTGTTTAGTGATGTAACTTCAACCTGAGTCTCAGGTCCTCAGCTTCAAACTAGAATAATAACATATTCTCAATCACTCTTAAAAAGGGAGCTAAGTAAATAAAATTGGACTATCAGTAAAAGCGTGATCAGAATACTGAAAGCTACTAAATAAAACATGACAAATTATATGTATAACACAGTTTGAAACGTACCTCAGTTCTGAGAAAAAATGTGTATTGCCATGCAGATGAACTGCAATGATTTCCAGGTATTATAATTACTTTACGGTGGATCCTGGATTAAAGTTATGTCTTTTGATTTGTAAAGTAGGTCATTTTTCACTATAATAAGTATTATTAACACCTAAAAATAGGTAATTTATATTTGCCTGATTTAAAGATCCTGGGAAATATGTCACGTACTACTAATCAAATTAATAATGGCAACAATAGTATCTAACGCTTTCAAGCACTTACTATACATCAGACACTACATTAATTACTAATATCATTTATTATTTTATTTTATTCTCTGCATGTACTGCTGTATAAGTACTGTGCAGTGACCGATTGTGCCACTGGAGCTCCTATTTTATTCTCAATGCTTTGTAGTTGCAATTATAATCATGTCCATTAAAAAAATAGAAAAACAGGCAGAGAAAGATTAAATGATTTACACAAGGACACAAAGCCAGTAATGATGAAACTGTGATGCCAACCTAGGCAGCTTTGTAACACAAAAACAAATTCTAATTTGAAATTAGAATTATATAATCTGGAGTTAATACAGCAGAGTTCCAAGAAGGCAATCACTCTTAACTGAGAAAGTCTGGGGTGCATCTGGAAGACTAACGATGAATTAAAAACAAAGTAACTGTCTAACATTGTATGAATTAAAAACAAAGTAACTGTCTAACATTGTCAGTGGGATTATGTTCATTGCTGTGCTATTAACAATAGCAAAGACATGGAATCAACCCACGGGCCTATCAATGGCAGACTGGATAAAAAAAATATAAAACATAAACATCCAGTGGTAGACTAGATAAATAAAATGTGGTACATATAAATGTGGAATATTATGCAACCATAAAGAATCATGAAATAATGTCCTTTGCAGCAGCATGGATACAGTTTGAGGCCATAATCCTAAGAGAATTAACACAGCAACAGAAAACTGCATGCTCTCACTTATAAGTGTGAGCTAAACATTGAGCACACAGAAACAAAAATATGTGAACAACAGATGCTGTCAACTACTAGAGTGGGGAGGGAGGATGAGAGATGGCTGAAAAACTACCTATCAGGTCCTATGCTAATTACCTGGGTGATGGGATTCATACACCAAACCTCAGCCTCATACAAGATTCCCATGTAATAAATATGCACATGCACCTCCATGTCTAAAATAATAAAAGTTGAAATTTAAAAAAGAGTAACTAATACTAGGGTACTCTTCTTTAGGACACCATCACTTTACTGCATAACTCTCTAGTTGTAAAGTACTCAGTCTGTCCAATAAATCACTGTGTGTTTGTGTGTGTGTGTGTGTGTGTGTGTGTGTGTGTGTGTGTGTGTGTGTATAGGATGGTTGTTTTTGTCTTTTATGAGACTGAGTCTCCCTGGCTGGAGTGAAGTGGCATGATCATGGCTCACTGAAGCCTCAAACTCCTGTGTTCAGGCAATTCTCCCATCTCAGCTTGCCGAGTAGCTGGAACAGAGGCACACGCCACCATATCTAGCTTTTTTTGTTTGTTTGTTTGTTTGTGGAGACAGGGTCTCCATGTTTCCAGGCTTGTCTTAAACTCTGTGTTCAAGTGATCCTCCTGCCACTGTCCCGGAAAGTGCTCGAATTACAAGGGTGAGCCACTGCACCCAGCCTGCTCTTCTTTGTCATTGCTTCTGTGAACTGATTCATTGTAATGTTGGAGAGTAATAGCAGTAATTCACTCTGTGATTACCAAGAGTCAGTAAAATAGTTATGACAAATATCAATCTAATTGGAAGCACCACTGCTTGAAGTCATTTTAAAAGCAATCACTTGATAATGTTCTTTCAGTAGTTATCCTGCATTGGCAGAGAGGGGCAAAGATGAATGAGCAGGCACATGTCTTCCTCCAGTTCTGACAGTTCCTTTCCTCCTGATAAACAGCCATTCTGGCAGGAAAAAAGAAAAAAAAAAAACTAATCTCCCTCTAACCTTTCTCCATTTGGATGAGTGCACCACAACGATTCTGTACTGTAACAGAGAAAATATCCAAGCTAAGGGGGAGGAAATCCTATGGATAATTCACTATACTTGATAATACACTGAGGAACAGCTCTAACCTATCATACACCAAGTAGAGACATTGTACAAACAATAAAAACAACAATAACAATAATGATGGTGGTAAGTGTATGTGTTCAACACATACTATGTGTCCAATATTATGGTAAACACATTATGTAACTTATTTTGATTCTGTGTTGTATAAAGGCATTTGAAAATGTCATTCATTCAGTAACCACCTACTGCCTTTTCTTAAACAGATAAACACAACATTCCTAAAAGTATGAGATAGCTGAGTGAGACTTGACCACACTAAGGCACAAGGGAGTGAAATGATTGGTCCAGATCACAGCTGAAAATCTTTCATCTGACACTCTACCATTCTTCTCAGAACACTACTCAAGGTCCCACAACTCCCTTGATGTCTGTGTCTTTATCCTCAAATGGAGGGAATTATTTAATTGCATGAATTACAGGCTCTTCTCAAACTAGAGAATGCTACAATGTAATGGTCCTATCTTGCAAATGTCTGCTTTTAGCTACCACCTGGAATTGATAACATTCCACATTTCTATTGCAGGTGAGTGGGTGAGTGGCCACACAGGACTGGGACAAATAGAAAAATATTATCCAGATAATAAAATGGTATTTATATAATTACATAATGTTATAGAAATATTTATAATAGTGAATGAAAAAAGGAAATTCTAAAATAACAATTATTCTGTGATGATACATATGTCCATGTGCAAACACTAGATGGAAGAACATGGAATAATCTTCTCATGATATGTTTACTATGGGTAAAGTCTAAATGATGCTTTTATATTGAGCATTAGTGTATTCACAAAGTTATTTATGATATGAATTTTGAATGAGATTTAATTTAAAACATAGGTGGCACAATGACACTTCTGAAATTCAAAGAGATGCTCTGGTTTTCATGCTCAGGTAAAATGGCTAAAATTATCTCTTCAATGTTTGTTATAAATGACTCTTAAGAGCCACTTTTAAATCATTATATGTTCTTTGCATAACTATCAATCCTAGCACATATACCAGTTAGTAATTAATCCTTCAATATTCGTATTTTCCTCAGAAATCAACTTACTGTAAAGGATAAATGGCTTAAAAAATGAAAATTACCCAAATTCATTCACTCATCTATTCATTCAAGACACAATAGTTAACTGCCCACACTGTTTTAGGCACTCTTTTGGGACCTGGGGATTCAACAGAAACTAAACACTTTGTATCTAGCTTTGAACCTGTAACAGTCCAGAGTTTAAAGTGGACTTTGTGAAAAAAGGGCTTAAAAAGGGATTTGACGCCAGTTTGTTTCCTTTGTCCTCACTGAAAATGCAGCAAAGTGAAGATGGTTGCTGAGCCTTGTCTCTGCAGCATCTCCTCAGGCAAATGTTTCCAGAATACAGTATGTTGCAGAAAATAATTTGGAAGTAGTCCAGCTCAGCTTCCTTCATTCAATTACCTGTCATCAAATCATTTATTTTAGCAGACAGAAATCATTGTGATGACAGGGATTTATTTCGTCCCTGTATTCCCAGCACCAAGGACAGCACCTGCACTCTGTCCATGAAGGTCCAATTAGAGTTCAGTTCACATAAACAAGTGCTAGATTACCAT